GTTTACCTCGTCCCCAAAGTTTCAATCCATCTATGCAAGTTGTGCTTGTAATCGAGAGAGCCTAATTCACAGTTTTCTTCACTGAAAAATTTAAATATTTTTGTAAAGTATTGCTGTTTCGTGAGCAATCTTTCTGCGGCTGGGCATAGTCACGAATTTGCCTCAAATCAAGGCGAATTTATATAAGGTGGTGTTGTTTCATCGGCTGTGAGTAGCATGTGATTGTAAAAATTTTGTATTTCGCTAGTGAGTAAGTGAAAACGTGAGAGTTTCTATATATTTGCTGTCGCCCTTTCTCCTTCGGGGAAGAATAGCGAGAAATTGGAGAATGGCCCGCTAAAAGCAAAAACAAAATACATGTAATTGTTGTATTTGTTGAAACGATACCACCTTATATACATTCGCCTTGCCACAAATGCAATAAACAAAATTGAAATTTCGATGATATAAACCATACTGTGGCGAATGGGATAATGACAGAATATTCTATGGCAACTAACAGTGTAAGGGCCGTTAACCTATCTGTTTTAAACTAAAGTCAAATCATTAAACTTACCCACAGAAAATTCTATAGAAATTTATGTAGTTAGGTTTAACTAATGATTTCACTATACTTTCAAATAGATAAGTTGAGCCGTTAACTAAAAAGAAAAGTGAAAGGTTGAAAAAACATTTTTTCAGCAAAAAAAGTAAAAATATTGCCTACAATCCACAAATGCAATTGAAATAGTTTGCAAGTGGTTTTATTGTATCCTCATATGTATATGCTTCCTTAACAGATCCATTAGTTTTCGTTGGAAATTCAACATATATTCAGACTTTCAGAGAAAAACCCCTACCCAAACCCGAAACTGTTAACACCATTGAATTCAGCGTACCAAAATTATCTAGAAATGACCTATCTCCCGTCTGTCGAAAAAAGTTGAAAAAACTAAACAGTGTTAATATTTTTTTTACGTGAAATTTGTATTAGTAAGATTTTAAACATTAGTTGATGTACATATAAAACACCTAGGACCGTTTTCTCAAGTGATTTTAAAATGTATCTGTCTTTAAACACAAATTTTGTTCTGAAACAAGTAAAGAAGTATAAGTTCGTGCGAAACCGAACTATATATACCCGGCGCACGTATTAAATATCGTTTTTTCAGAAGAGTATTTTTCCCAATGTCAAACAGTTTCAATAATATGCTATGATGTATTGAAATAATTGGACCAAATTTGGTGGAAATCGGTAAGGCGGTTATCGATATATACTTCTGTAGTCATAAGTGGGTGGTGCCAAGCCCATTTAACAAAAATCTGCAATCTTGTGTCTTGTTAAAAGATTGTTGTAAGTTGGCATCTTTAGTTATTGAAAGACCGGAGTTTCCGTATATCTGAAATTTACTGTTATATGGTAAGTGGCAGTAATTTTAGTCCGATTACAAAAATTTTCAACATATTGCTTTTTTGCGCCAAGGTTGGTAAATACGCCGAGTTTGGTAGAAATTGATAAACCGGGTACCGAGATACACATATGTAGGCGTAAGTGAGCGCCCATTTTCCAAAAATTTCCCTAAAAATCATTTGCTGCTAAGAGGTCATTGCATATATTGATTTTGAGTAAATTAGCTTAAATAGTTACTAATTTATCGTAGTTTTCGTATTTCTGAAAATTACAGTTATATGGGAGGTGGACTTGGTTCTTGTCTGATTTCAAAAAATTTCAACGTGTTTCTTAGTGAGGCCCTAAGCAATGTTTCCACCGAGTTTGGTAGGGATTGGTAAAGGGACCACGGAGATACAGCATTTAATCATAAGTGGGCGGGGCCACGCCCATTTTCCAAAAATTTTATAACTGTTATTTTATGCCAAAATTCTACGTCAAATACCAACTTTCAACAATTTGGATCCAGTATTTGCGGAAATATCTTAGTTTTTGTATATTTCGAAAATATTGTTATATGATAGGTGGGCGTGGTTATTGCCCGATTTCGCCCATTTTCAATCCCTACCTATAAAGGGCAACCTACTTACCAAATTTCGTTGACGTATATCAATTTTTTCTCGAGTTATCGTGTACACGGACAGACGGACAGACGGACGAACGGACAGACATGGCTTAATCGATTTCTCTTTTCATTCTGAGCATTTATGTATATATTTGTCTATATCTATCTCGATTCGTTTTGGCTGTTACAAACAACCGTTATGCGAACAAAGTTATAATAGTCTTGTGCCCAAGTGCGATCGGGTATAAAAATATAGAAATTTTAAAACCTACATGAGAAAACGGTACTTAGTTGTACAAAGATTTGTAATAATAAATTGAAACTAATAACAATAAATATTTATAGGTGCAATGAAAATAATAATAATAAATATTATCGGTTATTTAAAAAAGTTTTAAAGGTAATTTTATTGGTTGGCATTGGATTGTATTTCTATTGGACACTTTTACTTGTTTTAGGCTTCGCGGCATAGATTTTACCGAAATTTTGTGGTACAATTTTTATTATATTTCCTACGTTATCATTCTATTTTGAATAAGTAAAAATCTTGTTTAGGAGTAGATCTTACAAATCCGCAGTGGAATCCAAGCCCATATTTGAAGCTAGATACTCTAAAAGAAGATATTTCATTCCTTGAATAACGATTTTGTTGTTCGTTTGGTATGAATAACAACGTTTTACCTAGAGCTCTTGTTAACAGTCGATTATCCGGTTAACCGATTATTCGAATAGTCGAGTAGCAACTTTTGCATTGACTGAAAATCGAATAGCAAGTATTCGATCGTTTCATTAACTTCGACTAGTCGTGCAATTGATTAACTGTTATTATTTGAATAGTGAAAAATGTTTAAATACAAATTTTTTCTCACTTCAAAACCAAAAATTTGCCTTATCCAAAATGAGTTTACGTAAGCGTAGCTGGGTGTGGAACTTCTTTTCTAACTCCGAAGGTGGAAAAGAAGTCAAGTGTACAATATGTGGACAAAAAATGGCCTATAATAATTCGACGTCGTCTTTGGCAACCCATTTCAAGGCCATTCGTAAAAGGAACAAGGAGCAGGACCTGGAAATGTATGTTTATGTTAACGAACTAATAAGTGGTAATTTTCCATAGTTTATCCTCCCCAGGATCACAGATGTAGCCAAAGTGAATGTGCCGAACCAAGCCCGGCAAAAAGTTTCAAGCGTAGAAGAAAAAACGAAGATGGCGAAACTATTTCAAACGAGCGCCAAGAGACCATGTCTCGTGCCTGGATTCCATGAGTTTATGAAGGTGATGGATGCACTTTGAATTTTGCTATAAGTCACGTATTCATCTTCATCATAATTCATGCGGTACCATACCATTTTTGGTACTACAGTATATTTTGCTTAGCTGCACATCCTGCTTTGCACGAAAAACTTGTGCACTTAACCGAAAAAGGCACTTAAGCGAATTTTCTTTACTACTTCAATGAGGAAGGTATCCAAATCCCTATGAAACCAAATAATGGAGAAGCACTTACCACGTAGAAATTACTGCAAGCGAAATTTTTACCGAATAGTATCTAATTATCTATACAACTACATAAATTTATAGCCATTTTCGTTGTTCTGCGAGATGAACAAAATAAATAAAAAGTTGTAAAATTAGGCAATGCAGGTAAACGTAATACTTTCTTTGATAATTGATACCAGTCGCACAATTTTTAAGGCAGGTATCGCCAATGTCCAGGTATGCTAAATGCATCTATCGGAGCAGTTTCCTTATAAATGTTAAAAATAATGCCTCTGATGCGCATTTTGGGGTAGGTATCTTAAATGTGCACTTAAGCATAGAGGCAGCAAAGCAAAATATACTGTATAAATACTCAAAGCCTATCAACCGCAAAACTTATGAAATATTGAAAGAAAACAACTATTCGAATAGTCGAATCTGTCAAGTAATCGAATGAAAACCACTAGTCGATTATGAACGGTTAGTCGAAAGTGAGCGGTTAATCGATTAAATGTATTCGATTATTTTTTGAAACAACTTTTTCTATTCGATTAACCGATTAATCGGTTAGTCGATTAACAAGAGCTCTAGTTTTACCGCTTGAATTTCCAAATATCTTCGGTTGAAATGCCCGAAAAATTTACCAACTCAATGCACAAAAAATGTTCCTACTTCAGGATATTAATTTTTCTCAAAGTGAAAAGATTTTATATTTTTCCGAAAGCTATACGCTTTTTACTTTTAAGTTTGCATTGGAAACCGAATGACTCTCCAACAGTTATGGTGGGCATCTGGGTCAACTATATTGAATCACTGAAAATAGCGTTTTTCAATTTCTAATTTTGTAAAATGCTAAAAACACATTTTCGTGCCATAGAGTGAGCTCTGGTTAAGCGATTTATTTCTTCACCCTAAGTACCGAAGTTTATTATTTATTGCAAGCTTCTAATTGTGACAGAGAAATTCAAATACATATCAATTTATTATTTCCATGGCCCTCGGGATTTTTAAAGGAACTGCTGTCTGATTACTTCAGCAGCTATTTAGCTACCTTTCATGCCACAAAAATTCATTCCTGTTATATTTCCGGGATCTTCTTCAGATAGTTTAATACCACGAGATATTATATATATAACTAGGTGTAGATTTCTGTTAAAAATTTTTGACACTGGAGCAGGTGGAGCCCGCATAGTTCATTTAAAGGAACATCAACTTAACATATGAAAATACTTATAATCTAAAGGCTATTATAATCGCATACAGCAAAAAGTTTTACCTTTCTTTCATAGAGCGAAAATGAGGAAAAACATATTGCACATATAATTCTTTTACTGGGGTAGTTTTGGGAAATCAGAAATAATCAAGTTATAATAAAAAGAATATTTCGATGTTGTTAAAAGGAAACATTTTTTTATCGTGCCGAAATCCTCACAACGTACAGGGGTGGACTTTTACGGCTTTGTTTTTCGTATGGAGAACAAGCCAGTGTAATGTATGTATACGTAAGTACTGTATAAAAAAACTATTACTTCATATTGACTATTCCCATGCGAGATATTGTTGCCGGTGAAGCATGACACACCTCATCTGTCTCGAAGATGAAATTCACATTGCTGCCGAATTGTATACGCCAGCCAGATGGCAGCGTCAGTAATCTGGAATAATGGAAAATATAATTAATTCTGAAGTAGCAAAATTATTTTCTGTCGAAACGACGAGCATGAGATCGTTTTTAGGTCTCATTATTTTACGATCTGGGCGGTCAATTTAACAAACATTCGATAGAGGACATTCCAAAAAAAATTTCCCAGTCCCTCTCACCTCTTTGACTTGCACAGCGAACGTTCACCGTTTACCGGTATTCTAGAAGCATAGACAGACGGATCAACTCGTTATTTCGGAATTATCTCGGGAATTAACTGACGTTGATCGGGATTAAGCCCTCGAGTTAATTCACAAAATAATTGCGGATCAGGGGCATTTGCAATGACATCACTGATCCAAACGGCCCGCTGTTGTCTATTGTGAATGCAAAATGAACGAAGCAAACCAGTAAGCAAACAAAGTAAGTGAGTTTGGCATCCGCGTTAGCTGAATGGTGAGAACACCGTCCTATAATTCGGTAGGGTCCAGGTTCGATCCCCGTTGGGACCAATGTTCATAAATTAAATTTTTTAATTAAAATTGTTTGACGTAGAATATGTCTTGCGTTTCGGTATGGATGCCTTGCTCAAATGTTGTAGTTGTACTTTTTAGAGCTTCACAAAAAAGCTTATTGCACGATAAGAAATGAAGCGATTTCAAAGAAAAATGCATCGTTTCTAAAAAAAATCTCAAACCGACGGGTCTCCTTTTAATAGTGATCACTTCGTTTTCTGTCGTATAAACAAACATTAGTTTATTTTGGGGTAAATTTTGGGCATTTAAAGTGCTTTAGCAACATAGGTTCTGCAGATATAACTTCCTTTTCCTTTTATATAAAGTCCTTTTCGGACTATAAGTTCTCTACAGCAATAGAAATATTAGCCCTGCTCCAGATACTTCACGATTTGCAGGTTTAACAGGATTTACAGGAAAAGCTGTTTTCGCCATTAATAAACCTTATTGAAGGTGGCCACCGGGAACAGCTTCCTGTAAAAACCTGGAAATCGCGAAGCACCTGGAACGCAACTATTATTGTGTACAAATTTAATATGGATTTACCAAAAATATTTCATTTTAAAGCAAAAAATTTTTTGGAAAATTTGCAAATATTTTTATTACCAGAATGCTGGCAAACCGCCCCACCAAATAATTTTTGTTGCCGGCAGTAAGAAAACTTGTCGCCCTCGGACACAAATACATATATTGCCGGTAATATCGCCATCGTATCGATTTCTTAATACCAGTCTCTCTAAAACGTCCGCCGTAGGCAAGTCGCCTGGGCGCGTCCTTTTCTTATTACCTGAATGAGTCGTTTTCTTATCGCTTCAGGCGATATTTGGAATAATTTTTTTCTTTTTAACACTTCATTTATTTTTTGTATACAAAATTGGAACTTGGAAACGGCATTCATTATTTCTTTCGCTGTGGGGCTTCCTATTTTTACCTTCCTTTTATTAGCTCGGGATGTAACTATGTAATATTGATGCGCCTAAAAGATGCAGCGATTTCTATTCTCAAGTTACATACCTGATGACAGTACGAATGGCAATTATAATAGGGAGGTTTTAGTTTTTTAAACTATAATTTTATTTCAATCCTGTCTTTGGATTATACTGTTGACGCGAATTTTATAAGTTTGTTAATTTTTTATAACTTATTTATTTCAAAATTGACATGAAAGAAATGATGTTTCCGATTTGTCACCGCAGCAATAAATCGGTGAGTCGCCAATTTGTTGCCGTTGACGATTGTTGCCTATTTCTCATGTTATGCATGGTGGGCGCTCTAATGATCGTGATTTTGTTTTCTTGGTATTGGTTGATACCTTTTCTGTATGTTTATTTGATTTAAAATAAATGGGAATGCAAGCGCAAGAACAGTTAGGGTGCTGCAAGTGACAAAAGGAGACCAAAAACAAATGGCGCAGATCAAGGAAAATATTGTTACGATTATCCTTGTTGAGTTGACGGATTTCCTAAAATTCCTTGGGTTCGTACGGCTGCATTGTTACATAAACGTTTAAGATTTCCAAATTACGGTGCAGTTAACTTTATTGTACAACAAACACTGTGCAATACTTGTTAAGGCAATAACAACAATTAACAATACTTGATAAAGCAATTACTACACTTTAAAAACTTGTTAACACAATTGATCTCTGTTTTACAACTGAACTTGTAGCTTTCTGATTCTGATTATCTGCTCCGCTTCGCACTCATGGCAACTCTCGATGGTTCTGCTATCTATCGCTCATTCTATTATTCTCGCGGTGTTCGCAGTATTCTTCCTTTTGACGTTTCTTGCCATTTTCTTATCGTCCCGATCAGACACACTTGCTGTTCCGAACGCTGCAAGCCTTTCCAAGTGGACCTCTTGCATCTTGGTTCTCGATCTCCCAACGGTCTGAATCCGATACACTTCGTCATTCAACAGTTTGACAACCTTATACGGACCTTCCCAGTTGCACTGTAGTTTTGGGGACAAACCTTTCTTCCGTTGTGGATTGTACAGCAACACTATACTCCCCTCTTAGAAACCCTCGGAGTTCGTCACCTTATCATTCCTGGCCTTCATATTGTCACTCATAATTTGAGTACGCTGTCTCACAAGAGCATGAACTCTCTTAGCTCCTCTTCCAGGATGTTGGACGTCTATTTTCCAATTCTCCTTGCATCGCCAATTAATGCTAACTTAAGGTCAGTAGGTAAAGGGAGCTCACTGCCGAAGATTGCCTTTGCAGGAGTTTTACCCGTTGTTTCACGCACTGATGACCGGTACCCCATCAGGAACTAGGGTATGTGGACATCCCGCTTCTTGTCCACGACTTCCGGAAAATGCTCTTCCAGGGTTCGGTTGAACCGTTCCAGCATGCCATCTGATTGGGGATGAAGAGCCGTTGTTCGACTTTTCCGGATACCCAGTATCTGGCACATCTCTTGGAACACCGACGATTCCCTGGTCAGAGTACAGCTCTATAGGTACAACGTATCTCGCAAACCAATTGTAATTACATCCGCTACTATTTTAACCTTCTGGTTTGGAATCGGGTATACCTCCGGCCATTTGCTAAATTAGTCCATACACGCACGTATCTATAGCGCCTCCATTTCAAAGTGATATTGTTTGCCAATTTTAGTCTAACAGTGTGGAAGTTTCAAATGGCTAAAAATTACCCTTGATTTTTTATATTTTTTTGTCGCGTTTGCTTCCATATAACGAATAAACACAATTTATTTTTATATGGAAGAAATCCGCAACACCTTCGGCGAAAAAAAAATTCTAAAAAATCAACGGTGGTTTTTAGCCACTTGAAGCTTGCATATTGTTAGACTAAAATTGAATGGGCTATAAAACTGCGTACTCAAAAAAATTCCAACACTTCTGAAAAAAAAGTTTGAAATTTAGGTGAAAACTTGTTGAATTTTTTGTAGTCTTTTAAGTTTAAAACTTGGGTTTATGTGGATTTTGTTAGAGAATGAACTGTATTTTAATTGAAAATTCCTAAAAATAAAACAAAAACACGAGTGGGAAACAATATCACTTTGAAATGGGGGTGCTATCGTATTGGTCAATACTGTATTTGTTTCCTAGTCTGCTCATAGGAAATGGACCGGCCACATCATGGCAATCTGCTCGAATCGTGCGCCTGAATTATACTGCTTCATCTGGACATGACTTCTGGATTTCGGCCCCTTAGCTGCAATGCACTCCGCGCAGTTAGCAATCAACTCTGCGACCGATTGCCGACAACCAACCCAATATAGTCTCTGCTTGATCTTCTCCAGGGGCTTTGTGATTCCCACGTTCCCTCCACTGGGACCGTTATGGAACTCCTTGAGAACGTCACGAACTCTTACCCTTGGAACTACTATTAAATTTCGGGAGCACTGACCATCTTGACTTTCCCATACCCTATGCAAACAGCCAGATATCAACTTTAAGCTGTTCCATTGTGCCTTTGCGATTGGGCTCTCCGCTGCCATTTGCTCCTTAGTTGGCCGTCTGCTCATCTCCTGTCCATGCATCAAAAGCTATAGATCTGGATCTTCCTGCTGACACTTTCGTAGCTGTTCTTCCTTCCATTGGTGTTATTCTCGTTAACCGGACGAGTATAATGTCTTCTTTGGCCTCAGCCTTTGAGCAGTGTTTACATTCCAAGCTACATGGTCGACGGGGCATGGCATCAGCACTTCCCTTGCGGTGCTCAATAGCGAAGTAATAACTTTGCAATCTCAATCCACAGAGCTTGCTATCCTACTGGATTCTTGAACTAGATTAGCCACTTCAGCGGGCATGATCCGTTCGAACTCGGAAACTTTGCCCATAGAGATACTTGTGAACATGTTTGACGCACTCCATAAACGCTAGTAATTCTCTCCGAGTTACGCAGTAGTTCCTCTCTGGTTTTCCAATCGACCGGCTATAGTACGCAACTACCTTCTCCTGGCCGTCAGTTACCTGCGACAGTACGCCTCCTATGTCATAACCACTATCATCCGTATCCAAAACAAATGTTGCACCTGGAACCGGATACGCTAGCATAGATGCAGTACATAGCCGTTCCTTCAGAGCTTGGAAATCCTCCTCCTGTTCGTAGTTCCACTCGCAGCGCTGACGAAATTCGGAACAAATCGGCGATAGTAAGTGCATAGCCCAAGAAAACTTCGTAGCTCGTGGAAGTTCCTAGGTCTTGGCCAATCCTTTATTGCTTCTATCTTTTACTTCGCAGTGCAGACGTCTCTGTTGTCACTTTGTGTTCTAAGTAGTACAACCTCCTTAAACACTGAGCACCTTTTATCCTCTGGAAAACTTTTTGCAAATTCTTCAGGTGTTCCTCAAAGCTTTTACCCAATACGGTAATGTCGTTTACATACACCAAACATTATTTCCAATGTAGTCTTTTAAGCACATGGTCCATAAGTCTCTCAAAAGTGGCAGGAGCATTGCATAATCCTAAGGGCATCACCGTGAATTGCCAAAGACCATCTCCAACCGCTGAATGCTGTGTTCTTCTTGTCCTCTTCTCTTACCTCCACTTGCCAATAGTAGCTCTAAGGGCAAGTGCTGAGAACCATTTCGCATGTTCGCAGTATTCTTCCACTTGACGTTTCCTGCTGTCGAATATTCTACGTCTTTCGTCGAACATTCTGCCATTTTCTTGTTGTTCGCTTCGCGTTGCCGCGGTACTCGCCACAATATTAATAAGCTTATCGAAGCATATGTATTGACTCTATCACAAAAAAAAGTTGCGGTTTTCTCACCGGGATTACAAAATATATTATATTTGAAGACTTCCACCAAAATATTTAGGAAAAATATTAAGATTTACGTGAGCTGGAGTGATTTGAAAATGTCTCCAAAAATTTAGTTTATTATGAATAAAAGTAGTTTCTTAACGGAATCATAACAATGCGATTTTGTTGCTGTTTTTTAACCTTTTCACAAAACGGTTTGATAAAAACTTTTATAACTGGGCCAAAACTATACCGATTTATAAGGTACCATTGGAAAGGTATTTACGCACCCTTTTTTATTTATTTGCAAAGAAATTCATCCAACGTGCCAATTTTCTTCGCAAATATTATCACATCTTAATTCAACTTGGAATGACGCTCGTTGATCTTACCTTTCTCTTTAATACTTTGAATGAGTTTATTTGCAAAGAAATAAAAAGGGTGAGAAAACACCTCATAAGTCTAAATCGGTAAAGTTTTGGCTAAGTTATTAAAGTTTAAAAACAGCATCAAAAATCTCATTATTGTGATTCCGTTGAACATTTTTTTAAATATTTATATATTGTATTCAACAATTTTTATTGATCTTGAGGCCGTTTTTAATGAAAAACTTATTGTGGAAAAGCAACAATAATTTGAAAAAATGGTATAAGTGATAGCTATTTCGGAAATCACCACATTTCCTCATCAGACTTCTTTCAGTAGGATTCGAACCGAAGATCCCACTAACTCAGCCAGTTGCCTACGCACTGTGCTAAGTTCGGCTTGTAAATTATCGTTGCTTTTTCCCACTTTTTTCATTTGTTAAGCCAACACAATCAAGCGCAGCTATTCCGCTGCTATTCACACTTGATCATGTGGTTGTTGGTTTTGTTGGTTTTTGTTAATAATTCTATTTTTAGAATGTTTAACCTTTAGGCACAAAATTGAGCATCGGCATCGGCCCTTTTTCGCCGATTCTTTGCCGATTATTTGGAATTTCTTTTCATATGTGCAGGTGAAGCGACAGACAACGGCCAACATAAAAAAATATTTGCAGACAGCTCTTAAAAATGATTTTTTTTGGTTGAATGTGTTTCACGTTTTTTTCCATACAAAACTATGTTCGACAATTTTCTTTTATCCGGAGGAAACTGCCAGCAAAAAAAAATTGCTAAAAATCAACGGAATTTTATAGCAGCTTGAAACTTGCACTTCATTATACTATAATTAAATGGCCTAGAAAACTGCATACCGAAATTTGAAATTTTTGTGAAAAGTAGCAGAATTTTTCTCATTTTTGTACAAAGTTTGAAATCTGTTGCATAACAAGCCAATTAATTCAATTATTTGTTTTCTGTAGTTTTGTTAACTCCGTTAAATTAATTGATTTTATGATATAATAGGGGTATTCTCTGAGTCTTGCAAAGCCCTTGCACGGTGCACGGATTGCACGGTTTGCAAAGCTGTCCCATACGAAAACCGGTTTTAACCGTGCAATCTGTGCACCATGCAAGGGCTTTGCAAGACTCAGAGAATACCCCTAATATTTCTATTTGTAATTTTTCATGGAATCGGGATCGGCATCGGCCGATTCTTTCCCCATAAGCCGATTAATCGGCATTGGCATCGGTACCTGAATAAAAATTGGAATCGGTCGGACTCTAGTTTACGTGTCTGCAGTGACAGCCAAGCTGCACTGAAGACATAGGCCATCCCTCTATCTATGTACTTCCAAACTAGTAGTTCGGCAATGCAACATAACGAGCTTGCTTTACACTGGGTGCCAGGTCACTCCGGAGTACCTGATAATGAGACATTTGACCATTTGGCCACAGTTGGCTTGAACCAGGCATTCGTCGATCCGCAACCAGTCATAGCACTTCCCATTTTGGCCATCGAAACCACCATCAGAAACTGGGTGAATACTTCGCTTAGCAATGACTAGGAGGCATCGAGGGGATTCCGGTGAGCAAAACTCATGCTGCCTTCAGTCTCAGAAGGTCTATCTAGTTTTTTGCTCTCACTGAGCAGACAACATGTTGGGCTGCCGACTGGTCACTGCACGTGGCTTGCTAACTTGGTTGTTTCTCATCGATTTTTCTAGATTCGGTATTTTCTCTATTGTCAGTTTCTGAACTAAAATTATGCCGTAAAAAGATTTGCGGTTTTGTTGTTTAAAGTTTTGTGTGTTTAAAAATGTGAGTGATAAATATTTTTCGCATCACTTTAAAATTCGGAGTGATAAAACTAAAAATGACGCCATCAACACAAATAAACTATTTTACAAATACGCCACATGCAATTTCATGAGTGAGCCGAACATGTAAGAAGTTTATGGTGAAGAAAGGTAAATAACGCTAGCTCTCGGAGTGCTCCTAAAAAATATAACTCCTCAGAGCAAAATAGTACCTTGATGGCTTTATGAGGTATGTTTTTTAATACTTGGAAGTGTGTAATCACGTGTTTTTAATAAATAGAACACAAGAAGATAATTTATTTTTATTTTTGCCACTCCAAATTTAGTTTTGGATCTCACCCGCGATGCAAATTTACATCTTTAGATCTAGTCTTCACATCTTTTGATGAGCTTTGGAAATATGTTAGAAATGTACACCGAAACCAGAAAAGTTTTGAAAAGGGTATACGAGAAAAAAAGTTTGGGAACCCCTGTTTTATTCTGTCACACTAGTACTCTCGCTATATAGTAGTCTATCATTCTTGCTTTAATTTTAAGGTTTTTCAGCCGCACTGAGAGTCGTTTAATGATTACTTAAGGTGTTCCTCAGTGACGATTTTAAACAATTCCCTTTCAGAGTCAGTTAATGATTCATTAAGAGTAAAAGAAAAATCTTTACTAAACTTTTTAACGAATGAGAATGCAATTTTTTGTTTTGCCTTATATGGCCTTATTCATAAAAAATAAAATAGATTTAAAGAGCTCTATAAGTGACATTTTCATACAAATTTTCGATTTATAAAGCAGTTAAAGTCTTCTTTATTTTTTATGAATTTGGCTGCTATTGTTTAAAAAATAAATATTTTTTAGTTTCATTTAATGATGAGAAACTTTTCAAATAAAGTTTTTTATTTTCACTTTCTAAAGTTTTTAGTTTTTATTGTTTAAAAAAAATGTTTTTTTTTAATTTCGTTTAGTTTTAAAGAAGTTATTGCTGGATAAATAGAATAACGCTAAGACCTCCTCGTTACCAGATCTTTCAATCAATAATAATCTATATATTAATACGCTAACATGAATTTTGTCTCCGTTCGTTTGGCGATTCTACCGAACCGATTTCAAAACCAAGAACACCGTTGGAAAGGCATTTCTCCGTAGATGAGCAGAGTTTTTATGGTTTCACAATTGGTTGAAAATTGCGGCCAAAACCGTCGTTTAAACATTTTCGAATTGTGTATAGATGTTGCTGCAACATGTTCAATTTGACATGTTTCGCCTGTTGTTTCACTACACATTTCAAATTAAGCATTGAAATAAAGATAAATATGAAGATGAAGAAATGAATAAATGAAGATGAAGTCAAAACAAAGAAGGCAAAAGTGAAGATAAAGACGAAAATGGAGACAATGACAGATACATAAGAAGTAGGGTAACTGAAATGGTAAGAACCTTTCTTGAATTTATGAAGTGAAACTTCTTTAGCGGCAGTTGGTTGGTTGGGAGAGGATTGTAAAATTCAAGGGGAATAATGCACACGGAAATGGTTCTTAGCGGTTTGAGAATAAAAACAAAAACAAAGATGCCTAGAGGTAAAGGTAAAAACGAAGATCAAGGTAAATTTAAAAATTCAATTTTAAAGGTAAAGGTGACGAGGAATATGCAAAAATAAAGATAAATCTGAAGAAAAGGATGAGGATGAAGACGGATATTGTTATCGATATAAAACTCGATATTTTTATTGATATAATAATCGATATTGCTATCGATAAGATAATCGATGTTGTTATCGATACTGTTATTGATTCAATAGCCGCTATTGTTATCGATATAATAATCAATATAATAATCGATATCGTTATCGATACAATAATGGATAGTGTTATCGGTATAATAATCTATTAAATAATTGATTTTGTTATCGATTTAGTAATTTATATTGTTATCGATATGTATAATAATCGATACTGATGATTGTTATATTTATCGATGAATTAATCGATTTTGCAATGGTTGTATTTTTCTATATGTTTATAGATATTGTTAGCGGTATTTTTATCGACACAGTTATCAACAGGGTTATCGATATAATAATCGGAACATGGAAAGTTATCACATTACATGACATCACATTACATTATATCACANGCATCACATAATGACATCGTATGACATGACATGGCATTACATAACGTGGCATCACATGATATGACATCATATGGTATGACATCATACGACATGACATCAGAGGATATGACAACACATGACATAACATCCTATCACATCACATAAAATCACGTCACATCTTATCACGTCATCGCACCTCATTTCATCTACGTGAATAGAAAAAGAAAAGGATATAAGCAAAGATGTGAAAGATGAAAACAAAGATCAAGACCAAGGTAAATCTACCGATTTCAAAACTAAACACACCGTTGGAAAGGTTTCGAAATTGGTTGAAAATCGTCGTTTAAACATTTCTATATTTGTGTGTGGTTGTTTTTGCAAGCTGACCAATTTAAGCTGTTTCGCATTTTGATTTACTTCGTATTTGAAGATGAAAAAACAAGTGATAACGATGAAAACAAAAAAAGGCAAAAGTGCAGATAAAGACGAAAATGGAGATAAGGGCGAAAATGGAGACAAAGAGAAATACATAAGAATAAGGGTAACAGAGTTGAAATTTTAAGATAAGAATCGAAATAAAATCAGCCATAAAGGTTACTGAAATTTATCGAATCATCGAAGTTTATAATTATCGAAATTTATTCATGCTTATTAAGTTATCGCAACGTATCGAATTATTCAAACTGATCAATGTTTACTGAGTTGTCGAAATTTATAGACACAGAAACTTAGTTGTCCAAATTTACGGATAGTTATCGAGCTATAAAAACGTGTGGGATTAACGAAATTTGTCAAGTTAAAGAAATGTATCAAGTTATCGATATTTATTGAATTATCATTATTTATAGACTTAACAAATTTATCGAGGTGTCGTAATGCATGGAGTTCTTTCAACTTACATGATTATCGATAATTATTGATCTACTGAAATTGGTTGGTTCAACGAAGCGAAGTTTATGGAATTTTCAAAATATATCGATTTATCGAAATTTCAGGGCTATATAAGCTTATCGAGTTTCATCGTGTTAACAGAGTGTAACGAGTTACCAAAATGTTTAGATAGTTTTCGAAAAATGTGGAGCTGTCAAAAGTAAAAATTTATAAAGGTATCCAAAGAATTTACATTTTTGAGTTATCGAAATTTATCGAGCCCTCGAATTTCACAGTTATCGAAATTGGTCGAGTTAACGAATTTTGTTGAATTATCGGATTGTAGTTTTCTTGAAATTCATCGAACTATCTATATGTATCAAATCATTGAAATTTATCGGCATTGAATGTATCGGGTCAATTCCAAGTCCTGCCGGAGTCCTCCAAACACCTTCTCAGATAAAAAATTTTATTTACTTTTTAGTTCCAAAGAAGATTTTCCGGTTAGTTAATTTGTACCGTATAAGTTTTGCTGGGTGTTAAGTTAGAAAGCCTCACCAAGGCTTCTAAAACTAGAAAAACTGTCGAATTTCGACAGGAACTGGCAATCTAGTAATCTATATATTAATACGCTAACATAAATTTTGTCTCCGTTCGTTTGGCGATTCTATCGAACCGATTTCAAAACCAAGAACACCGTTGGAAAGACATTTTTCCGTAGTTGAGCAGAGTGGTTTCACAATTGGCTGAAAATTACGGCCAAAACCGTCGTTTAAACATTTTGTTGCTGCAACATGTTCAATTTGACATGTTTCGCCTGTTGTTTCACTATACATTTGAAATTAAGCTTTGAAATAAAGATAAATATGAAGATGAAGAAATAAATATTAACGATGAAGTAAAAAAAAGAAGGCAAAAGTGAAGATAAAGACGAAAATGGAGACAATGACAGATATATAAGAATTAGGGTAACTGAAAGGGTAAGAACATTTCTTGAATTTATGAAGTGAAACTTCTTTAGCGGCAGTTGGTTGGTTGTAAATCCTCAAATTCGAGGCGAATAATGCACATGGAAATGGTTCTCAGCGGTTTACCGGTTTGAGAATAAAAACAAAAACAAAGATGCCTAGAGGTACAGGCAAAAACGAAGATCAAAGTAAATTTAAACACTTTAAGGTAAAGGTGAAGAGGAATATGCAAAAATAAAGATAAATATGAAGAAAAGGATGAGGATGAAGATCGATATTGTTATCGATATAAAACTCGATATTCTTATCGATATAATGATCGATATTGCTATCGATAAAATAATCGATATTGTTATCGATGCTGTTATTAATTAAATAACCGCTTTGTAGTCGATATAATAATCAATAAAATAATCAATATTGTTATCGATACAATAATGGATATTGTTATCGGTATAA